ACACCATCAGCACCAATATCATCATCATCATCATCATCATCATCATCATCATCATCATCATCACCATCATCATCATCATCATCAGCATCAGCATCAGCATCAGCATCATCATCATCATCATCATCATCATCATCATCATCATCATCATCATCGCCATCATCATCACCATCCTCATCAGCAGCATAACCATCATCATCATATTGTCATTGTGAATAATACCGTCATCAATGTCAGTACCACCATCATCAACAACAACGACAACACGATCGTCATCATCAGCAGCAGCAGCAGCAGCAGGGAGGGCCCCATGACGGCCCTGGCCAGGTAGGGCGGCGGTGTGTATATATATATATATATATATACACACACTTGAACCATCGCGCGCGCTTCGCGCGCGCTCAGGTTCTAGCCCAGGCCGGGGGCGCGCTATAAAATCTTGGACAGCGCTATCAAGCACAGGCGCGAGACATAGTCGTGCCTCCTGAGGGCCTCTTGGGAACCTCTTGGGTCTTCGTGGGGGCATCTGGGCTTCTGGGGGGTTCTCCGTGCTTCCTCAATTGGCTGTTGGAGGCACCTCTAGGGTGCTTCTCGGGGGGGCATCTTGGGGCTTCTTGGGGTCCCTTGGGGGCATCGTCAGGGTTCTCTGGGCAGTCGGAATCAATTGGCCGCCTTGGCTGCGTGGAGGCCCGGCTTGAGGCCTCCTGGGGCCTCCTTGAAGCAATTCTGATGCATCGTGAGCACTGTTCGGCTATCTTGGGGCCCCGTGTACGTCTCTTGTGAGCCTTTTGGGGCCTGGTGGGGGGCTTTGGGAGCCTCGTCGGACCATTTGGGGACTCTTGGGGCCTCCTGTGGGCCTCTTTGGGCGGAAAGCTCTGCTGTTGGGTTCGCGTTCCCCTTCTTGGGACTCTCTTGGGGCCCTCTTGGGGCCCTCTCGGGCCGTCTTGGACGCCTCGGGCACCGTCTTGGGGACCGCGTGGGCCGTCTTGGGGCCCTCTTGGAGGCCTCTTCGGCTATCTTGGAGCGGTCTTGGGGGCTTGGGCCGTCTTGGAGCGTCGGGAGGCCAAAAGGCTGGGAACTCTAACATCCATCAAAAACCGATGGCAAGACAATGCTTCTTGGAACCTCTTCGGCCTTCTGGGGAGCTTCTTGAGGGCCTCTTGGGTCCCATATGGGGGCCTCTGGGGCTTCCTGAGAGCCTCTCGGGGTGAAAGGCTCGGATTTTCGGTTCGTCTTACCCCTCTTGGGCCCCCCTTGGGGCCGTATTGGTGCCCTCTCGGGCTGCCTTGGGTTATCTTGGATTGGTCTTGGAGGCCTTTTGGGCCGTCTCGGAGCGTCAGGACGCCAAAAGGCTGAAAACTCTAACATCCATCAAAAACCAACGGCAAGACATGGGTTTATGCCTCTTGGGGCCTTCGCGGGAGGCCACGGCAGGGCCCCCGGGCCCCCCGGTGCGAGGGCCCCGTCCCAGGCCCCGCCTCGTGAACGCGGCAGGGCGTTCTTGGGCCGTCTCGGCGCCCTCGTGGGGGCCCGTTGGGGCGACATGGGGCGTCTGAAATCCATCAAAAACCTAAAGACAATCAATGATTTTGGCGTCCCTTTGGGCCGTGTCGGTCTAGAGGCCATCTTGGGCGCGTTCGAGCGATATGTTCTCGTTTCGGGGCCTCTTGGGGGCCTCTTGCGGCCCTTTTCGTCTGTGTTGGGGCTTTCTTGGGCCGTCTGGGGGCGGCCCTGGGCTGTCTCGGAGCCCTCTTGGAAGCCTGTTTGGAAGATTTCTGGGTGTCCTAGACCGTCCCTCTTCAACGTCGTCGGCACTGCCCGTAAGACTTCCCGGGAACATGATTTGTTGGGGTGTCGTTGGGCGCTTCCGGAGACTTCGGGGCCTGACGCGTTTCCGAGCGTGGCGTCAGGTAGCGCTGCTTGGGACTCGTTTTTTTTAATCCTGGCAGACGTTTAGGAAACATGGTTTGGGGAGAGGGCGGCAACCCGAAAATCATGTTCCCGGGAAGCTTTCCGGGAGCATGATTTGTTCGGCTCTCTTAAGAGGGAGGCCTCTGGGGGCTTACCGAGGGGCCTTTTTTGGCCTTGTCGGCAAGCCTATTGGAAACATGGTTGGGGCGGTGGGCGGAAGCCCAAGGAATCATGTTCCCGGAAAGCTCTGGGAAATACGATTTACCGAGGTCTCTTGGGGGCCCGCAGGGGGCTTCCCTGGGGGCCCCTTGGGGGCTTATTGGGGCTTCCGAGGGGCCTCTTGGGAGCCTCACGGGGCTTCTTGGGAGCCTCGTGATGGCCTCCAGGGGCGTCCTAGGAGCCTCCCAGGCCGGAGACCTTGAAATGTCGCGCTCTTCGGGCCTTCTTCTTGGGTCGCTCTTGGAGCTCTCTTGGGGCGCTCTCGAGGCCCTCTTGAATTAATACCTGGGGGGCCTCCTGGGCCGTCCCTGGTCTTTCTTGGGAGCCTCTTCGGCCGTCTTGGAGCGATCTGAAGGGCCTCTGACGCCGTCCGGGACCGTGGGGAGGCGGAACATGCGAGAGCGCAGAAATGCGGGGCCCCTCGGAGGGGCCTCTGGAGGCATCTTTTTGGCGGCGTCGTCGGCCGTCCTGAAGCCATCTTCGGCGTGTCTGGGGCCTCTTGGGGCTGTCTTGGCAATCTTTAGGGCCCTCGTGGCGTGTCGTGGCGTGTTTGAGAGCGGGCCCGGGCAGTCCCGGGAGCCCTGGGGGCTGTTTAATGCTAAGTGTTGTCTTGGAGGCGGAGGCTGTTGAGTGCAGGGTGGCGCGTGCTACGCGGAAGGCGGGCGAGCGGCCGGGCGGGCGGCGGGCGGGCGGGTGGCGAGCGGGCGGGCGGGCGGGTCGGGATTTGAATGAATTCCTTGAGGGTGCTCTCTTGCAGCGGGAGCTTGTTGAGTACAGGGTGTTGCCTTGAAGACGGGGGCTGTCGACTACAGGGTGTTGTCTTGGAGACTGAAGCTGTTGAGTACAGAGTGGTGCGTGCTACGCGGACGGCGGGCGGACGGCGGGTGCCCGAGGTGGTGGGTCAGAAGCCTCATAGGTGTTGGCTTGGATCTCGTGGTTGGCGTGACGGGGACGTCGTGAAGGCAGTTTCGCAGCTTCTCGGTCGCCGTTTTGGGACCGTTGTGGGGCCTCCTCGGGGCTGGTTTGTGGCCTCTTGAGGCCTCGTTTGGCCCTCCTGGGTGCCTCTCGGGGGCCTCCTGGGACCTCTTGGGGGCTCCTTGGGGCCTCCTGGGGCACTCTTCAAGCGGGAGGGTCGAATTCTGGAGTCGTAAGCCCCCTCTTGGGCGCATCTTGGGGCCGTCTTGGGGCTCTCTTGGGCTGTCTTGGGCGCATCAGGGGCCGTCTGGGGGCCCTCCTGGGCCGTCTTGGGGGCCTATTGGGCCGTCTTGGAACGTCGGACGATTTCGGCCACTTGAAGCGCTCTGGAGGGGCGTCTTGAAGCGTTGTGGAGTGCCTTGGGGGGGCCTCTCGGGCCGTCTTGGGCCTATCTTGGGCGTCCAGGAGCGGTCTTTCGGCGACTCGGGGCCCGCTTGGGCCGTCTGGGGAGCCTCTGGAGGCTCTCCTGGACTCTTTTGGACCTCCCAGGCCGCCACGTCCTGCCACGGGGGGTCGGGGCACCTGTTTGTGGGCCCCGGGCCTGCCCCCCAGGGATATATATATATATATACACACACACACGTCTATATATATATATATATATATAGAGAGAGAGAGAGAGAGAGAGAGAGACGTCTTCTGCGGAGAGGAAGGCGAATAGAAAGAGGGAAGGAAATCTCCAGAGGTCCCAATCAGGGTTCTTTTTTCGCCCGCGCCCACCATCGCGTGCCGCCCACCCCATTCGCCCGAGCCCTTGCACACACGATGGAGGCGGATCCTGGAAGAGACGAGTCCGGGAGGTTTTCCGCCGCCGCGGGCCCCAGGGCCGTCAGGAAACTACACAGGACCAGGAAACGAGTCCTCGGAAAAGCTCCAGGGTCGAGGTCTCTGCACCCTCAAGACCAAATTACTAATCCTTGGGAAACCTCCCAGGAACACGGAATAATGCCTTCAGGACCCCCTCCCAGATATTTGACGTCTTGATGTTTACCGGTAAGAGCTCGGGCCCAGGTCTCTTTGTGTTGTCGGGCCTTTGGCCCTAGACCTGTGGGGTGTCGAGCAGAGGCATCGGATCGAACATGGTGTGAGGGGGGGACGCTTCGCCTGAGGCATCCTCACTAAAGGGAGATGTCCGAGGAGTTGTTCTGCGACGTTGGATCTACAAGGGAGGCTTTCCCCTGAGACATCCTCCAACAACCAAAACATGATGAGATAGCCCGCGAAATTTCCATGTTATCAAAATGAGGCTCCCGTCTGAGAAATCTTCACAAATATTGGATGGCGAGAAAGGTGCAATCTGACGTCGTTTGCTAAAGCTAAAGACTTCGCTGCAGATAACCTCCAGAAAATGGAGAAATCCAGTGAGCATGCGAAGTCGACGCAACGTCAGGAAAGAGGATCTCGCCCGAGACATCCTTACGAAAATAAGATTTGAAAGATATGTGCTATGAACTCGTACAATAAAAATGCAGCTTACCCTGTAACCATTCCTCTGAATTTCAAAATGTTCAGAGAGCTTGCAAATTCGCGGTTTCCTCAAAAAGCTGGAGCTCGACGACGGCGACAACTGCGACGACGGCGACCACGACGGCGACGGCGACGACCACGATGGATGCGACCACGACGGCGACGGCGACGGCGACAACCACGACGACCACGACGACCACGACGACTACCACGATAAGGCTTCTCAGAAGCAAGGGTGCTTCTCAGAAGCCGTCCCCCTCTCCCCCATACCCTCTTTGCGCGTGGCCGACGATGGTGACCACGATGGCGACGACGACCACGACCACCACGACAGCGACGACGACTGCCGCGGCGACGGCGACCACGACGGCGACGGCGACCACGACGGCGACGGCGGCGGCCGACGGCGTGCGGCGCGCCGAGGCGGGCGCCCTCGGCGCGCCCGGCAGCGCGCAGAGCGCCGCCAGCCCGGCGGCGCCGACGAGCGCCAGCTGCCGGGCCCTGGGGCGCAGCAGCGCCCTGCGCACGGCGCCCGGCGGTCTGTCGCCGTCGGTCGTCCGTCGCTCGGTCTGTCGGTCGGTGAATCGGTCGGTCGGTCGGTCGTCGTCGTCCGTTCGGTCCGTCGTCGATCGTCGTCCGTGGGCCGTCGTCGGTCGCACTCCGTCGTCGTCCGTTCGGCCGTCGTCACGGTCGTCGTCCGCTCGGCCGTCGTCATCGTCGTCGTTCGGCCGTCGCCATGGTCGTCGCCGTCGTCTCCTCCTCCTCCTCCTCCTCCTCCTCCTCCTCCTCCTCCTCCTCCTCCTCCTCCTCCTCCTCCGCATTATCATCATCCTGCTGCCGCTGCTCCTCTTCTGAGTATCAATAATATGATTCGCTACATTCGTTTTATTATCAGTAGGTTTGCATGAAGTGTCTTGTGATTATCTTAGTATTGAAAATATTCGTATTACTACTACTCGTATCATAAATAACAATAAATCTATAATTCGTATTCCTATTATTGTGTGGATTAACAAGATTAATTTTATTATTAGTATGATTCGTGTAAATCGTATTATTATTCGTAAGACTAGTATTACGATGCTTCGTCTTGTTAATAGTACGATGAATAGTAATATAATTAGTATTAGAAATATAACGTTCTTCTGCTGATGTTTCATAGCGTTGTTATTATGCGTATTCCTATAAGTTGTACTCTTGGTATTAGGATTCATAATAATATTATCATGTTCGTATTACTGTTATCATTCGCCTTAGCATTAATATTAGTAGTATTCGGATTCGTTTTCTTCTTGCTATGATTCGTATTAATGTTCATATCATTACTATAATTCGTATTATTGCTAGGTTCTTACGAATATTACAATAATTTTAGCATAGGCATTCGCCCTATGACTAGCATTAGTAGTATTACTGGTTATACGATTATTAGAATCAGACTTATTCTCTCGCTATTAGTATTACTCGTGATATATGTACTACTACTCTTGTTTTTTTTTCATATAAATAGTAAATAATACCATTAATAATACGATTCGTATTGACACGATTATTGTAATTAATACTATCATTAGTTGGAAACCGATCGAAAAGCGTTCGCCCGCCATGCGGGGCACGGACAGAAGCTGGAAAAATGCGCTCTCAGGCATGGGTGTGAGGAAAAAACAACAACAACAACGAAAGGAGGAGGAAACAAAACGAACAGAGCCCCGGGCTCCTGCCGCAGAAGTCGCCCCACATCGTAGCGGGCCTCCCTCTTCTCCGAAAAAGGCTCGCCTGGTTCAGGTCACTGCAGACCGGCGGCAGCCACTCGGCAGCATGACGTGCGAGCGCTGGCCAAAAAGGCTTTTGCCCGATAAATTTGACTTTCCTGTCCCGTGTGTCGTGGTTCCAATCGTGCATGAGGTGGCTGTTCAAAGCCACGTTAAGCCGGAATTTATCCTGCGGCCGCGGTTTCCCCTGGTGTCGTCCGAGTGCAAGAGCCACCCCACCACGCGACGCAGCACGCGTCGCTGCACGACTTCCTAGCGACGGCCCAGAGACTCCGTCAGCGGGCAGGTTTCGAGGGAGGAACACACAGATGATGCAACAACTGCTTCAAACAGTTGGAAAAGAAGAGCGATGCTGACATGTGTATTCGTCAACACGTGCTAGAAGGCATCAAAATTCATCCAAACGCAACCGATTCGGTGCTCTACCGCTGCGTGGCCACGATTCCCCAAGTCGCCTGTGAAGCATCTGCCGGGGCACTTGTGCTTGGAACCCGCGTGCAGAATGTCTATGGTGCCGCACTCTGCGTTCACCTGCTTATCCTGCTCAATGGGCTCCGTCGTCATGATGTATGTCTTCTTTGCGTTCAATTCGATGCCAAAGCTGCCCAGCGTAGCTGCCAGTGATTCGAGCATGGACCCAGCCTCGTCCAATGACTGCGCGAATAACAAAATGTCATCCGCTTAACGAGTTTTCGTCAACCGAGCGTCACACGGATCTGGCGTCAAAGCAAGCCCTTCTGTGAGCAGCCCGGATTTCCAGCTCTCGAATGCAACCTCCAACGCCACATTGAACAGGGCTGGGCTCAACGCGTCGCCCTGTCGGACACCTCGCCTGACGTCGGTCTCCGATATGCCCAAACTGCCCATTATACAACCTTCGGGGCAGATATACAGATTCGCCCAGACCCTGTTGTTCAAGTGAGCAGAACAACGCATCATGCTCCACAAGGCGAAAGATTTTTCCAAATCGATGCTCACAACCCAGACGGGAACTTTCCACTCGATCCCATTGGATATCACAGTGTCGAGCACGGTACGAGCATGTAGTGGAGCGCGCAGGCCAGCAACCAAATTGGTCTTCTGATTTTTGGAAATCGAGGCACCCCTTAATCCGGTCGTATGCGGCCCTCGAGAAGATTTTTTATGTGATGCTCAAAATCGCGATGGGCCTCCAATTGTTTGGATCCTCCGCGTCTACCCCCTTATGCAAGAGCGAGAAACAAGTCGAGAGAAACAAGTCGCAACATATTGTTAAGTCTTAGTGCTCATAGTCTTACCATTACTAGCATTATCATACTTCTTCAGACGAGTATTACCACCATTGTGAATAGTACAAATACGTTCATGATTACTAATCGTTATTCATCGTATGGCTAGTATTACTACTACTACTACTACTACTACTACTACTACTACTACTACTACTACTACTACTACTACTACTGCTACTACTACTATAACCAGTAGTGTCAGTATAAAAAATATTGGTATCATTATTAATAATATTGCTCATCCTACCATTATTCCACATGTTCGTAGTGTCTTTCTTATTACTAGATGTGTATTATTAGTTGTCGTGGTATTATTATTTCGTTAAAGTCGCCCCAATCATCTTACGAATACTATTCCTATTAGTTGTAGCAGTAGTAGCATTAGTACTTCCCTCATTATGTTTCACCGTCTTACTGTTACTGCGAACATTCGCCCTATTAGTATCACTACTATTGTTGGTGTTTGTGTTTCGTCCTCGTATTATTCTGTTCTTACGATTACTCATACGATTATTCATAGGTTCCTTCTTAGTGTTATCATTATCATGAAAAGCTGTCTTGTCATTATTACTGGCATTGTTACTATTATTGATTTTCCTCCTCCTCTTCCTCTTTCTCCTCCTCTTCCTCCTCTCCTTCCTCCTCCTCCTCCTCCTCCTCCTCCTCCTCCTCCACCCTCCTCCTCCCTCCCCCCCTCCCCTCCCTCCCACCTCCTCCTTCCTCCCTCCCTCCTCCCTCCTCCTCCTCCTCCTCCTTCCTCTCCTCCTCCTCTCCTCCTCCTCCACCCTCCCTCCTCATCCCTCCCCCCTCCCTCCTCCCTCCCACCCTTTTCCCTCCTCCCTCCCTCCCTCCCTCCTCCTCCTCCTCCTCCTCCTCGTCCTCGTCTTCGTCCTCGTCCTCCTCCTCCTCCTCCTCTTCCTCCTCCTCCTCCTCCTCCTCCTCCTCTTCCTTCTCCTCCTCCTCCTTCTCCTCCTCCTCGTCCTCCTCCTCCTCCTCCTTCTCCCCCTCCACGGCCACGACCCTGAGATCCTGGCGTTACAATTTGTTCACAAATCGATCAGGCTCGAAACATTGCGCAGAAAGGTGTGGTCCGGGGTTCCAGGTGTGGGTTTGTGCGAAGTTGCATGTGTTTTGCAACGTCTGATCTGAAGAGCCGCGACCCTGTGGACGCAGGGCAATTTTGCGCGGACGAGCCGCGCGAGACGTGTCCATGGGATCGTGCATCAGTGGTATCACGCCCCGGTATCCAGATCCGCGAGGGCATGGATCTTTTCCCAAACCAACGGCGATGAACTCCCCCCAAATCTCTGGGCGTAGGTGGCTTCCAACCTCCCTCCTCGTCGGGAAGGGGTGCTTCACTGCTCCTTATGAATACGCGGCCACTCCCCCTCCCGACCGAGGGCAAACCTAGAACCACGACAATCCCCCCCCCCTTCCGTGACAAGAGAAAGCGTACGAAATACACTTCGCGGCAGAATGTGGATCACGCCCGGGCACCAAGCGATCACGTCGCATTGGCTTTGAACAGGGATGCGGGGGGGAGGAGGACTATTGCCTTCTGCGCACAGGCCTCTCTAAAGCTCTCGTCGACGGCCTGGAACCCCTCCGAAGGCACTTTTGGGCTGCCTGGCCCTCTTTGGGCCTCCTTCTCCTCCTCCTCCTCCTCCTCCTCCTCCTCCTCCTCCTCCTCCCTCCTCCCTCCTCCTCCTCCTCATCTCTGTCTCCTCCTCCTCCTCCTCCTCCTCCTCCTCCTCCTCCTCCTCCTCCTCCTCATCGTCCTCCTATTCCTCCTCCTCGTCCTCCTCCTCCTCTTCCCTTTCCTCATCCTCATCCGCATCCTCATTCTCCTCATCCTCCCCCTCATGTCTATTATCTTCCTCTCCCGTTCCCCTCTGGGGCATGAGCCACAATCTCCTCTGGTGACGGCGACGACGAAGACAAAGAGGACGACGACGACAACGACGACGACGACGACGACGACGACGACCACGACAACGACCACGACCACGACCACGACCACGACCACGACCACGACGGAGACGGCGACGGCGACGGCGACAGCGCGCACAGAGCCTGCATCGCCGGCCCATCGCGGCAGGGGCACCGCGCGCAACCCGTTGCACGCCTGGCGGAGTCTCGTCGTCGTCGTCGCGTCGTCTGCGTCGTTGTCGTCGTGTGTGTATGTGTATGTGTGTATGTATGCGTATGCGTATGCGTATATGTATGCGAATGTGTATGTGTATGTGTATGTGTATGTGTTTATGTGTGTGTATGTGTGTATGTGTGTATGTGTATGCGTGTATGTGTGTATGTGTGTATGTGTATGTGTGCATGTGTGTATGTGTATGTGTGTATGTGTGTATGTGCGTATGTGTATGCATTCACCATATTTCCTCCTGCTCGTTCCCGCGTCCTCCTCCTCCTCCTCCTCCTCCTCCTCCTCCTCCTCCTCGTCCTCCCTCCTCCCTCTCCTCTCTCATCATATCCATTCTCCTCATCGGTCCTCATCTTCCCTTCCTCATCCTTCCCATTTCCTTCATCCTCGACGTCGTCGTCGTGGTCATCCTCCTCCTGCTCATCGTCGTCCTCACCGGCCTGATCGCATTCATCCTCTGGTTCCTGCCAGTGCTGGTCAAGATGGTGTCAGGCCCTGGGGGATACCTATTTTTTGAAGGTGGTGGCGGTGCCCATGACCGATCCACCATTGCAGCTCGAATCGAATCCAGCCGAGAGTAGCGAGGATCATCCTTCTTTCCTAAGCTCCAGCTTTGCCGCCGCAGGGCCGCTCGTAAGAAGCTTTTGGGAAAATGTCCGTCTGCGGTCGCATTGTGCTCACTGCTGTCTGCATGCTGCGCCTCGCGTGCCTGACTCTCTGAGAGTCCCCTGTCTGCCCTCAGCACTCGGCGATTGCGTCCACCGAGGTCTCCGCCGTGCCATTTCATCGCGTTGCATTGCATACCAATCGCGATTGCAGTAGAACCACATTGCATTGATTTGCGCTTGCACGCCATTGCGCTCTACTGGATGGCGCATTACATTGCATTCGCCTCCCTCGTCCCCTTTAGGGGGCACGGAAGGGGGGGACTGACGGAGGGAGGCCTCGCAAAACATACATGTCCTCACAAAAAAGAGAACCATTTGTCGAATCCTCCATTCCCCCCGGCCTCCCCCCCACCCACCTCCCCCCTCCTCCCTAGAAGCTTTCGGGTTCGCACTGGCTTGCACTCCCATGCCCTTGCATTGCATTGGGTTGTGTCGGGGTGGGTTGCACTGCTTCGTCCTCGTGGCAGCGGGTGCGCAGCAGTGGCCCAGGTGCCAATATGATGCCATTTTCGGCTCACGTCTTTAGAATTCAGAAACTCACTCTGTTTTTGTTGGCCAGAGCTCCTCCCGGTCATCCCCGATGGGGAAGCGCTGCGAGGTGACCTGCACGTTCGGAGCCAAGGGGAAGCGAGCCCAAGTGAGCGGAGAAAGAAAACGGAGTCGGCTGCAATGACGCAGGCGCGTGAGCCGTCCGCGCAGTGCCTCGGAGCAGCGCTCGGGCACGGGGGGCCCTTTTCGCGGCCGGCGTAAGCTGTCCACCGAGAGCTTCGGGGTGAGCGCCCACGTAAGCCGCCGCGTAAGCCGTCCTGGGATGCACGGCTCCGTGTAAGCCACCGTGTCAGGGCGCCGTGTCGTGGTGCGCCAAATATGTTTTCTTTCTTCCCTCAGGTGAAGGTGTCCGGCCTCTGCGGGCTTGCCGCGGCCCTGGCGCGTTCGCGGGGGAGCCCCTGCGCGCCCGCGCGCAAATCATCAGAGCGCTCCACAAACAGGACGACACGAAGCGGCACTCCTGGCTGGAGGGGCTCCCGACGGAATGGCGCGCCGTATCTCGACGCGCGCTTCGAAATCGCGATGAATGAGCAAAGACGCTTTCCACGGCGGCCGCGCCACAGGCACCGCGTCGAACGAGTTTTTCGACATGGAGCTCAAGCGCTGCTTCTTCGGCCAGGCCATGCACCTTTGCATGCTTCCCTCGTTGCCCACCGTCATCCAAATCGCCAAACTGATGACGCATAATTCGGCGCTGTACCACCAGACGCTGACGCAGGTGCCGCAGAGCCGCCCGCTTCATTGCCTGGCGGGGGCGACGGAGCTGTTCGGCGAGAAGAGCTGGGAGCGATGGTGCGCGCCTCTCTGTGCTGGCGGCGCCGCGCGGAACGCCCCCCCCCCCTATGCCGCCGAGAGGGAAGCGCTCCAGGCGCGGACGCCCCGGCGGCGAGCAGCGAGAGGTGTCACCGGGAACCGCCACGACAGAGGCAGCCGAAAGCGCGCCGTGTGCACTCTCCAAAAGCGCCCCGCAGCTAATTTCTAGTGGCGGACTTCGGCCGGCGAGCGGCGAATGGCCCCGCCGAAGGTTTTCATGGACCGAAGCGTGCTAGGCCGAGAAACGAAAGAAGAAAAGGAAAGCACCAGTGGCAGATGTTGCGATAAGATAGATCGCAGAATTGGCAGGTGGCTCAGAGACGAGATGCGATGTTGCGAAATGTCAAGACACTGCGCCCAACTACACCGGTTCCGCCAACTCCACCAACTCCAAAAACTCCGCCAATTCTTGGAGCAGGTGGAGTTGGTGGAGTTGGTGGCGAGAGGGCAGGGCGGATCCCCTGGAGAATTGGTGGAGTTGGTGGAGTTGGCGGAGCTGGTGGAGTTGGCGGCCCGCCAACTCCACCAACTTCATGAGCTCCAGGCATTGGTGGAGTTGGTAGAGCTGGTGGAGTTGGTGGCGGGAGGCCAGGGCGGAGGCCCTGTAGAATTGGAGGAGTTGGTGGAGTTGTCGGCGGCCCACCAGCTCCACCAACTCCACCAATGCCTGGAGCTGGCGGGGTTGGTGGAGTTGGTTGAGTTGGCTGAGTCGTCGGCCCACCAACTCCACCAACTCCACCAACCCCACCAACTCCACCAACTCCACCAACTCCGCCAACTCCACCAACTCCACCAATTCTCCAGGCCCTCTGCCCTGCCCTCCCGCCACCAACTCCACCAACTCCACCAACTCCACCAGCTCCAACAATTCTCCAGGGCATCCGCCCTGGCCTCCTGCCGCTAACTCCACCAACTCCACCAATGCCTGGGGCTGGTGGAATTGGTGGAGTTGGTGGAGTTGGCGTCGGAGTTTGTGGACTTGGTGGATTTGGTGGAATTTGAGAAGCGGTGGTAATGGTGGAGTTGGTCGACCCAAGAAACCAGCGAAACCAACAATATAGGTAGAATTAAACCCTCCCACATGTGTGTGTATGTATGTATGTATGTCTCTATGAGTGTGAGGGTGTGGGTGGGTGTGGGTGTGTACGTGTGCGCGCGCGTGCGTGTGTGCGTGTGTGCGTGTGTGCGTGTGTGCGTGTGCGCGTGTGTGTGCGTGTGTGTGCGTGTGTGTGCGTTTGTGTTTGTGTGTGTGCGTGCGTGCATGTGTGTGTGTGCGTGTGTGTGGGTGGGGGGGGTCTGCGCGCGTGCGCGCGCGCGTGCGTGCGTGCGTGCGTCTGTGTGCGTGTGTGCGTGTGTGCGTGTGTGCGTGTGTGCGTGTGTGCGCGTGTGCGTGTGTGCGTGTGCGAGTGTGTGTACGTGTGCATGTGTGCGTGTGCGTTTGCGTGTGTGCTGTGTGTATTGTGTGCTGTGTGTTTGTATGTGCGTGTGCTTATGCGCGTGCGTGTGTGCGTGTGTGCACGTGTGTGTGGTGTGTGCCTGCGCGTGCACATGCGCGTGCGCGTGCGCGTGCGCGTGCGCGTGTGCGCGTGCGTGTGCGCGTGCGCGTGTGCGCGTGCGTGCGCGTGTGCGCGTGCGTGTGCGTGTGCGTGTACGTGTGCGCGTGCGTGTGCGTGTGCGCGTGCGTGTGCTCGCGCGTGTGCATGTGCGTGTGCGTGTGCGTGTGCGCGTGCATGTGCGTGTACGAGTGCGTGCGCGTGTGCGCGTGCGTGTGCGTGTGCGCGTGTGCGTGTGCGCGTGTGCGTGCGTGCGTGTGTGTGCGCGTGTGTGCGTGTGCGCGTTTGCGTGTGTGCGTGTGCGCGTGTGCGCGTGTGCGCGTTCGCGTTTGTGCGCGCGAGCGGGTGTGCGGGTGTGCGGGCGTGCACGTGCGCGCGTGCGCGGGCGTGTGCGTGCGCGTGGGCTCTGCCATGGTAGGAAGAGAGCCTTCTCCGCAGTGCTTGGTTCAGATCTGGTTTAAGCATGCGCTCAAGCCTTCAATGGCGCATACTCGAGTAGGCTTTGTCTGAGACCATTCACATAATCATTGACTGAAAAATGGCGTCGCTGCTTGCTACTGCTGCTGCCGGTCATATCGTTCATTGATCTCTTCCATTATGCGTGTGGCTGGCAGTTGGATTGGGATGACCTCCACCCGGGCACCGACGCCAGCAATTTTACCCCTACATATTCCTATCCATATGCATATACTTGTCGTTGTGCTGATTTTCTGCCACCTCTGACTACCTGTGCAGTCTAGCATTATCGATGACTTTGATCGTGATGTCCGACAGCACCTACAGATTCGTGCCACTTTGCAATTTGATGTATCTGGTCGCCGCTTCGATCGAGATTTGCTTTGTGACTTTTCAGCAGTCACTACGATTGCAGGTGTCACGAAGATTTCGCCTGACACGGTTGTTCCTGCCTGTGCTGGGGAACACCGGGAACTGTTCGGAGCGTTCTGGGTTACCATTATCTGGAATCTGCTGTGCCCTCGGCCGTCAATCTTTCCTTGGAGCCCTCCTAGAAAGGTCGTACGCGAACTCGTTGTAATCCAGACTCAGCAAAAACGCTTGCCGTCACACCTTTTCCTATGTTGCGTGGGCCTGCCTGAGCGTTGGCGCTACGTGCCTCCAGATTCGTAGCAACATCTTTGCAGGCAGGCGACCGGTCTGGTATGCAAAAAGAGCTCTCGAAGAATTTCACCCTGCCGTCCGTCGTGCTCTTTGTCGCCCAGGTCAGGCGAATTTTCTCGAGGCGCTTGTGCCTTTAATCGTGGACCAAACGCGGGGCCTTTTCGGCGAGCCTGCACTTAGAGAGACTCTTGCTGTGTCTACCAACTCGGGTTTCATGCCCGGTACATCGGACAGGCGCGAGTTCGACGCTCGACATCGGCTGTATCAA